ATCCTGTGATCTTGGGTTCAAATCTAGATTAGCCTTTATTATGAGTCTTGGTCTGAGTTAGAATTGGTCTTCAGCAACCCATGCTTGTCTGCCTTGATGAAGATCTGGGTTAGAAAATTGGTCTTCACAAATCTGTGCTTGTCTGTCCTCATAAGTGAGTGAGTTTGATTTTACGCTGCTTTTAGCAAAATTCAAGCAATATCACAGTGGGGAACACCACAAATTGGCTATACACATTGTACCCATGTCAGGAATTGAACCTGGGTCTTCCGCTTGATGAGTGAATGCTTTAGCCACTAGGAAAACTGACCGCCTCGTCCCCATGAAGACCTGGATTAGAATTGGCCTTCTGCACCCCATACTCCTTTTTAGCATCATGAAGATCTGGGGGTTAGAATTGGCCTTTAACAACCCATGATTGTCGAAACAGGCGACTCTCAGGATGGGGTGGTCAGACTGGCTGTCTTGGTTGATGCATGTCATTTTTTCATCCAAAACTGGCTCCCACAGGAGATATTGATTGGATGAGATCAAGCAATATCTACACTGTAGATATCGCTGCAATGAAATTACATCACAATGCTTTGCAGACCATTGTGACGTCACTAGTTACCATGACGTCACAATCAAATGACATCACTAATGGCTCTGCTACTGAAGCTCTTTGCAGTACTTTTTACACTGAAGACACTGCTAATTACTGTCTACAAATTGAAAAAGTTGAAAGAATGATGTTGGATGATAAATAAAATCTCACCCCCGTGTCTTTTGATATCAAATATATCAACACTCATTGATAAAAGTGGCAAAAATCCTCGGCAAGCCTTGGAATTTTTCCACTTTTATCAACTCGTGTTGATATATTTGATATCAAAAGACACTTGGGTGAGATTCTCTATGTATCCGAATTGTGTGAATTAATGTTTATGATGTCAGACACTGGATTGTCTGGTTCAGAATTGATGATTTACAGACCAAAGTCTCATAGCTGGAATATTGCTGAGTGCGGAGTTTAACAAGAATCTCCCACATCTTGGTTGACCACCAGTGGGCATCCCTGTTTGTTTGTTTGTTTGTTGTTTAACGCTGCACTCAGCAATATTCCAGCTATATGACAGTGACTGACATTATGAGCATCGATCTACACAATTGAGATACGATGACATGCATTAACCAAGTCAGTGAGCCTGACCACCTGATCCCGTTAGGCGCCGCTTACGAGAAGCATCGTCCCCTCTTACGGCAAGCATGGGTTGCTGAAGTCCTAATCTTTACCTGGATCTTCATGGGTCTTGAGCATCACTGATACTTATCAGACAAATGTATGACTGTTTTCTGAATGGATGCACCTAAGTGTATCTCCAAACAGGAAGAGCGAGATAAAAAGTAATGAAAAAATATAACTGATCCACAGTGTCAAATAACAGTATCAAGCAGAGAAAGCAAAAATTGGACATATTTTATTTTACATCTTAGAAAAAAAACAGGTCTATGAAACCATATCCCCAGTTGGACAGAAGGTTAACCGTACAGATTACAGTCATACAAGCAGGGTTTATTCTTTTCAGCTGAAGATTTTTCACAGTTCTGTTTAGGTCTCTGTAGGACATGAGCTAGCCCGTGTGGTAGTTGGAGGCAGGCTTGGCACTCTCTGATCTGGCACAGGGAAGTCGTGACCTTCAGGACATTCAAGGTTGCCAATGTGTGTTGACAGAAGATTAGCTTTTGAAAATGTTTAAAAGTAGGTCAGGATATCTAACAATTTTTACATGTGTAAATAAAGGAGTGAAAAAAAAGAAGCTAAAATGTGGCCATTGTGGTAGCTGAGTCAAGGGTGTTTCATTGTTGAAAAGATCCTGAGTATATTTTTGTGATATCAGGATCAAGACATCTATCTATTTATAAATGTGTAAATATAAAATGTCAACACTAGAGAATAATCAGTCTCAATTATCTTATGAAACTGTTTCCATTGCGCAAATGAAGGAGAATCTTTTTACATTTTACCATAGTGAAAGTGTTTATTTTATGGAGTATTATTGTTTAGAAGTTCCTGAATATATTTTGGTCATATGTTCTCAAGAAGAGACCATTGTTGATGTGAAATGTGTTGATACATTTAGATATGTGTATCTCCTTCTGTATCCTTTCTGGGCAGAGCAATTTAGAATGTTAGTGGGTACTTTTATTTTATAAAGAGTATTCATTTGTTGGAATCATCCAGCAGGGCTGCTCAGTTCACTGTATAGAGTTGCTGCCCTTAGGCATGTCAGGATCCTGATTATGATTCTTGGGTTGTCAGAACCATACCTATACTCACGGGTTTCACCAAAGTGGTAAACATCAAAGACCTTCATCACTTTGGGCTTTCCTCCCACATACGCTGTAATAGACAAAATGTCCATGGCAGATTTTTTCCAACTCACTAAGTGATCTTATTTGAAGATATGGTGATAGGGTAGACTTGCTCAAAAAATTATGATCAGGGTTTCAACTTTGAGGCCTCAGTTAAGCTTTCAAACCTTGTTGTGGTAGATATATGGAAGACATGTCCGAATTCGACACATTAGTGGCAAATGTTGTCTGATGCTATTCCCTATTTTAACTTCTACCATATATTCCCGTGTTTTTTTCAGGTGAACAATTGACTTGCACTAGCATGTGTTTGTAAAGGGTGCCACAGGTGGGGCAGGATACGCTCACCTTTTTGCAAATTCCTGGTATCATCACTATTTGATAGTGATTTATAGTAGAGATTTCTTGTGATCATGGATATTATTTTTTGTTGCTTTTCTTGAATGCATAATTCACATTCCTCTGCAACAATTTGGGAATGTAAAAATATTCATTTCAAAATTAAACTTTCCTCCCATAAACGAAACTAAACTAAACTAAACAAAATTAAACTAGACCAGCTCATTTGATTGTGTACTCATAACTGAAGCTCCTGAAGACTTCTTCATTGCACCATAGCACCGTTTATTTTGGCCTTACCCTTCTTTGTCAACCATTTTTGAGACAAGATAAAAAATTAGATGGTCATTTGTTAACCTCTTCCTGAAAAGAAAATGATCACCAGCCCAAATGTGGAGATTATTATACGAACATGCATGTGATACTGGATTTGCAAAACGAGTGTTAGAATTCTTGTATTTCCCTACCGAGAACGAGGGAAATATGTGAATTCTTACACAAATTTCGTAAAATTATGACACATGTGAGTGTAATAATATCTTCATTACCCATTGTTTCTTAATCCATTTGAGCTTCTCTTTAAAAAAATGTACAGATCACGATCGTCATCTTAGAAAACCGCAACTGTTGAATGATGTCAACTTTCTTCAGCTATGACGCTCTTTCTAGTGTGACATCATTCCGATCATGTCCACGTCACAATTAGAGTCGAATGACAGCAACAATGCTGTACAGTTGAAGTAAGCAATACACTGGTGTGTGTGAAGCAATATTTGCACTAGTGCACATACAATTTTTATGAACTCGGTTATTTCTAAACCTGTGGGTATTAAATTTTCTTTACGACACATGAAACAGTGATCCCAACATACAAATATTCCGTTTGTTGTGGCCTAACCTGTAATTTTTCTGTTTTATGGTGAACATATACTCATTAAATGTAGATTGAGTCCTCTTTAACATATTTAAGTAAAAAGGTCCAGATATGTGAATTTTGGTAAGGAGGGGTCTCAGTTACACCAGTGAGGGTTGGAGTAGTTGTCAGGAGGATGGTACAGACAACACAACCAGGCACACACTGCTCCAGTGTTGGGGCTTAAAAGCTATGCAGGGATTAAATACTTTCCTCTCAATAAAGCATGGCAGGTATATGTCAGAGTGAAGCAAAGAAAGAAGCATTGACTGACTTGCAATCATAAGATTTTAAAAATATACAGTGGACTGCTGAGAGTGTGTATTGAATTTAGCCTTCGTCTAAACATTGTATGATGGTAGGGTAAATCTCTTCTTTGCCTACTGAGGGGGCTTGAAGATTGATGGATCAGGGTTTAACTTATGGATATATATATGCAGCTCATCTTTGGACTTTTGTATTTTATCTATCTATACATTATACTGGATTTAATGTTTGTGTTTTTTGCTATTTTGATGTTGATATTTGTCGTTATTTTCTTCTAGCTTTGTTTAGACAAGGGTTATAAAGGATCTCCTTGGAAAAATGGACAAAAAATCCAAATAGATTGACAGACCTTTCACAGCTCAGTTTTAGATTTGTCTTGTAGATGAATGGTTTGAATTGATTAGATGAGAGATTGTCAGGCACTTGTTATTTACACTTTCCGATGGTCATGATAAAGTGTCATCAATAAACCGAACACATTTTTCGGATATTGTTACATATATATGTATTATCTGAATGATGGTAATATGGGGAGATATCGCTATGTAATAGTTATAAATTGTGAACACTTGAAATATACATTCCTTTTATGTTCTTTATTTAGATCATTTTCTTCTATATCCTGAGACCAGTGAAGATCCTGGGTAGATTGGGTCTTCAGCAAACCTATGCTTGCCGTAAAAGGCGACTATGCTTGTCGTAGGAGGTGACTTACAGGATTGTGTGGTCAGACTTGGTGACTTGGTTGATGCATGTGACCATATCCAAATTGCGTGGATCGATGCTCATGATGTCAATCACTGGATTGTCTGGTCCAGACTCGATTATTTACAGACTTCCGTCATATAGCTAGAATATTGCTAAGTGCAGCGTTAAACAACAAACAACCAAAAATCTTTATCCTGAACTTGGTAGATGATGCACAAGGTGCAGAATGTTGTGTTAATGCTCCAGGATTGTCATTTAAAGTAATCAGACAGACATTTGATGAAGGTTGCTTGGATATTTACTGCCCATGTTTGTTCTCATAATACTCATACCTTTTTGTATTCACATCGCCAAGCATTCGTACCTCTGGAGAAATCAGCCCGTTAACACATAGAATTTGTTCTTCTGTCATTACCAGGTATCGGCTGATGAGAGACTGCTGGAAGAGTGACCCAAAGAAACGCCCTAGTTTTGCTGAGATAGGAGACAGAATTGACACCATGATTGCAGAATGTTCAGGCCAGGAATACCTTGACCTTCAGCTTGATGAGTCCCAGGGATACTATCAGGTGCAGGATTCTGAAGAAGAGTCTGATGGTGAATTGAGAATGGATATCCACGATGCCTCTGATGCTGGTAGGGAGGCCCAAGAAGCCAAAGAGGATGAAGAGGAAGACATGGCTGAAAATAGAGAGATTGAAACAGATGGAACTCTGACTGCAGAGGTTAGGAAGCTTGATGGTGATGTGGACAGGAGCCACCATGATAAAGATGCTAAAGAAGGACGGTTATGGGCTATTTCAGCACCAAAGATGTATGACACATTGAAAGAGGATGAAGAATTTGTTACTATTCCAAAATTCATCACAGAGCTTGGAAGTTACAAACGTAAAAAATCTCGAAGGGGTTCCAGAAAGGATGAACGGAGGATTCCAGCTAAGCTCCAGCTAATGGAGAAGCTACATGAAGCAGATGGAAGGGAGGACAGGGGGTCGGACAGCTCTCTGAGTCCTTTGTCCGATGAGGTTTTCTCCGAGGGTCTCTACACAGCACCATATTCATATCTGAAAACACCGGATCGTGGTGGACTATCTGACAGGGATACATCTCCAACCAACTCTGAGATATCAGACAACGTCTTCAACACTGATTCCAGTGAGATGTCTCATCAGTGTCAACGTCGATATGAGAGGACAACCTCTGAAATATCTACTACCAGCATCGATTCTGGCTTTCCTCAGAGCCCTCTACAGCTTTACTTCCCAGGATACTCCGGAAAAAGAATGGACTCTGTCGGGTATTCCCGCAGCAGATTGGACTCCGTCGGGTATTCCCGCAGCAGATTGGACTCCCTGGGGTACTCTCGCAGCAAGCTCGACTTGGGATACTCTCCTCGGCACAAACAGACGTACTGTAAGAATGCTTCACGAAGTCCCCCGTCAGGGTCCTATCTGGGTCGGTTGAAGAGATTGACCAGGAACACCTCCGCATCTTCTGGAGGAGGATGTCTTCCTTCTGTGGCAGACAGTGATGAAGAACTTCACTCTTCAAGCCTGTAACAAGGTGAATAAATATTGTCACTCAACGTTGTGTGGTGTTTGCCTGTCAACTGCTTTTAGTTCACGTTGTTAGGAGAACCGGTGCTACTGGTAGGGCAGTACATGCTTAACTTCACGAACACCAGGTGTTATCATGATGCGTTAGTTTTGGTTGCTATGCATTTGCTGCTTCTAGATTAGCTAGTTTGGATTTTCTTATAATTTAAAACATATATGACTATGATTTCCAACCCCAAAGGATTCAACTTTTTTATTTGATTTCATGGGCCAACATGTCTGCATTGGTGTTACAGTGTGTTCTGTTTGAGTTTGAATACTCCATCCACCATGATTATGATTCTAGGTTTGTCATTAGCAGTAAACTTCAAAGACCTACGTCACTTCCGGCTTTCCTCTCACAATATGCTGCCAGGACGCGATATGACAAAAGGAAGACTAAAGCCAACTTACTCACACACTGTTGACGGCAATAACCTCTTCAAGAGTTGTACCTTTATTGTTCTGGGTGCCGCTGGACAAAACAACCTATGCAAGTCTATGTTAAGGTGTGGGAGTTACAATGAACGCTTTGCACAACGGCACCCTGACCATATTCGGACTGTTTTGAAGTCTAAATTTAAAATCAATAGGTAGATGTTTGACGAACATTTTGTGCAGTCTTTTTTTCCTTTTTACGTGTTTGACAGATGATTATGTAAGTAATGACATAATACAACGGTACTATTCATCACATATAATAAAATCTTCTGATTCTTGTAAATTAAGAATGACACCAGTATGAAAATTAGACGGTAAATGACGCGCATGTCGCACTTATTTGTATGAGACATGTCTTCTCAAAGACATTTGATAGACATTGACCACCAAAACAAAACATGCTTCTTTAGGGACGACGGGGTAAGCCGCATTACTAAGGACACTTCAAGTACAAACGATGTAAGGCAGAGGTAGATTAAATTAAAGCGACAAAAGACGCATCTGTAATCATACCGAATCTCTGCAACAAGCAGAGTCCATTGTCCATTGTACGATTCTGACTACATCATGAACATATGTTTACGAATCACTATCAAATAGTGATGATACCTGTGTCCATAACGATAACGCCAATTGAAAAATATTTCAGTTGCAGTACGGTGTGACAGTTAAACGTAGTAAGTTTGCTTGTTTATTTGTTGTTTAACGCCGCCCTCGACAATATTCCAGCTATATGACAGCGGTCTGTAAAATATTGTGTCTGGACCAGACAATCCAGATATTGACATTATGAGCATCGATCGACGCAATTGGGATACCATGACATGCATCAACCAAGTCAGCGAGCCTGACCACCCGATCCCGTTCGTCGCCTCTTAGGACAAGCGTAGTTGCCTTTTATGACATGCATCAACCAAGTCAGCGAGCCTGACCACCCGATCCCGTTCGTCGCCTCTTAGGACAAGTGTAGTTGCCTTTTATGACATGCATAAAACCAAGTCAGCGAGCCTGACCACCCGATCCCGTTCGTCGCCTCTTAGGACAAGTGTAGTTGCCTTTTATGACATGCCTTTTACGGAAAACATGGGTTGCTGAAGACCTAAACGTAGTAAGTAGTTCACCACTTGATGGAACTCGTGTGAACTGTGCCGCAAACCGAGCCGAGCACCAGGCAGGATAACAAGTACTATCTTTTAACGTCTTTTGGTGTGATGCGGCCGGGTATCGAACCCCGGACCGTCCGCTCTCCGGGCGGACGCCGTACCACTAGACCAGGGAGGCGGTCGCGATTCTCTGAAACTGAAGATACTATTTTAGGGGAAACACAGTGAGGTTTACTCAGAGCCCTTGACATGTCGTTCCTCGATATTTGCTCAAAGGTTGTTTCATTAGGGTTACAGCTTCAAGACCTCAGGAAAACTATCATAGTTTTATGGTGGACATCTGGAGTACATTTCCAAATTTGACAGTGACAAAAAATGTGTCGGATGCAATTTATTTTGCCATGTACCATGTCCCCTGTTTTTTAGGTGAACAATTTACTTACCTTTGCATGTGTTTGTAACGGGTGGCTTCATCACTATTTGGTAGTGATTCAGAAACGCATGCTTAAGAGAAAATTAGAATCGTGCGATGAGCTATACTTTCAGAAGATTTCTTTTGATTATGGAAATGTGTTTTTATCGCTTTTGTTTGTGTCAATGACAATCTGTATTAACAAGAATTTAGGTAGGAACGGGGCTGCTTGATGCCTCTCATTGATGCTAAGTTGCCAGCCGAGTTCATGAAGGCGATGTCGTTGATAAATGTAGATTTGGGGTGTATAAATTACTTTATCAAAACTAAACATTATAAAAACTTTTGTCAGCAAATTTCAAACTGTTAGCTAAGGATATGTTTGCACGCCTATATGCTAATGATTAATTGTGGTATCTATTCTATTTTCGTGTACCAAAGAAATTCATGAAGTTAGGTGACGTCATTACCTATTTAGAATGGTAAGAATTTGATAGCCTCAGAATAATATTCGGTGACCATAATGTTACTTAATATTCTTTTTCAGTGATGAGCCTATGAAAGGGGTTGTTGAATAACGTCTTGTCCGCGTATTTTGTTCTGCAATAATTAATCCGTAATGGTGTTTGGATTAACTTCATTCTATCCGAAAATAATATATTCATGAGAATGTCATATTTATGTAACGTCTAATTGCACATTAGATTTATCATGAATGTCATTTATACCCATATACCCTTCACGTTTTCCGGTTTTATAGTCAAGTTTATACCAAATACTCATGTCATAATTAATGACTAGAACATTTGATTTATCCGAAAAGACTTTTAAAAATGTTCTTTACTAAAATCCAGCCAACCACCAGCCACAACCCTTTACGTCAAGCTCAATAAATGTTTCTCATAAAGTGGCCACACGTAATTTATTATGGGTGTACGGGTATATCCTGTCGGTAGGACAGCGACACATAAAAACCGTCGGACGCCATTGTCGTCCCCCTTCCCCTCTCGGCGTCTAGTCTGGCGCCACCCCTTGTAGCTATTTTCCCGTCTGATTGAGATGGGAGGTACATGCAGTACGTTCATGTCCCCTTGGACAAGCCTCTGGTGGGAGTATACATGCAGTCTTCTTTGTAAAGGGAGACTAAGATTACTTGCTTCGTGATTTATGCCATATGTAGACCCCATAGAATGCAAATTTTGGAGATATGACGTTAGCGCATCGAAGGGCTGAAACTTTGGAAGCCAGATCTTTACGTTGACAAACGTCATACCGTCATTTTTTGTTGATTTTTAAAAAGAAAATGTCTTGAATTTCGTTTAGGAATGTAAAAGAAAATGAAAGAAAACAACTTATCAAGAGCCTTTGCAAACAAATATACACGAATCTATTGACAACAGATGGCGGTGAACAAGTCTTAGATGACTACATGTATAGTCAAAATATAATTAATAACATTCATACGCGAATTCTAAGGGACATCATATTTTGATGATGTTTTGAAAAATAATCACAACCCCAAACGTAAATTATAATAGGAATTATTTGTATTTAACTAGCATATTTATGTTAAGTGCCCCCGCCCCATTTCTGAAAAAAATATGTATTCGCTCTTGAAAAGTCATACGGGATTAATGCATTTTAACTTCACTACTATATTTTTTAAATAATTCTTTCGTCATTGACGTTTTGTTATAGAATTAATTATGGCCATGGTTCGGCTCCATCATCTGGCTGGTGAGATTTTCCCGTCGGCTTTCTGGCGGGTAAATTTTGTAAACACGGAATGTGCCCGTTATTTGTCCGGGCGAAGGGTAGGGCTTTATCTGAAGGGACTTTACATTGGAGATGTTGACTTAAGCATAGTCAGTTAGATGTCTAATTGTGTTTATATCTTCAAGATGGTTGTCTAAGAAACACACAATGAACAGGCGGGTCGGGTAAGGCAAACATAAGCTTGAGCGAGTAAACAGTTAGCTTACCGTCTCTCTCGCATCGTACAGAAGTCCTGTACACCAGCGCGTCTACCTGCGAGCGCTCGGTCGTGTTTCATATGCCGTCAAAAGTTTTGTGTGGCTATGACATGACTCCCAATTGCTTTGATTTGTAGACATAATTATGGTGTGTTTGCATCCCTTAATTGCCAGATTTCTGTGATTCTACGTAAAGACTGCATGTGGAATGAAAGGTTTAATCTTATAAGAACAAAGATGTGAAAACATGAGATTTAAAAATATCTCTGACAGGGATACAGATTATCCTGTCACTATTAATGTTTGAATGATTGACAAGAATATTGAAATAAATAAATAAAATATAGCGAAGTAGTTTTGATTGCCAGCGGCCCTCTCATTGCCATTGTTAAAATTCTGCCAGACTTCTGTTCGCCTGGAAGAAGATTATTTCGGCATTGTTTTCATATATTTTTTCATCGTTTTAATGACATTTATGCTCATTCAGATTTGATAATCCAGTGGAGGCATTTACGGTATAATGAGGTGCTGTGAGAGTTCAGGAAGGACTCCTGTGAGAAAAGTTGAGAAAATATGCCGGTATATGGTCTCTGAATGAAACAAACATAATTCATAAATGTCTACAAGAAGGAATGATTTTGGTTTAACGCCGCTTTGAACAGGAGACAATAAGAATACTCAAGCTTTCAAACTGGTCATGAAAACGTTGGAAAATATTGTGAAATTATTATGAATACCAGTTCGAGGTATTCGTTGTAGATTACCGCGTAGATTTAACATATTCAAGCTATGCAGTGAAATTACTCCAATGACAGGGGCGAGACAGTGTGGCTGTCTACATCAATATACCTAGGCATCCTTGAGTTGAGAGCGTTACCCAAGAAAGGTCAGTGATTTGTCATGTTAGATAATACCTGCGTACTGGAGAGAGACTAGGTGTTTCTGAAGACTCCCGTAGGAGCAGATTTCAGACAAGATGCCGACATCTGTGTGTAGTTGAATGGTGGCCATGTCTAGTTGGTCACAGTCAGCGACTTACTTGACATATCACAATCAAACAA